CAAAGACCTAAATAAAAAGAGAGAGATACTATGTTCATGAATTGGGAAAATGGGTACTTTTTAAGCTGTCAGCCGCCCCCCACATTTTTTTTCTTGAAGTATAGTTGACGTACAATGTTGTATTAGTTTCAGGTGTACAACAAAGTGATTCAACATTTATATGCATTAGGAAGTGATCACCATTTTAAATCTAGCTACTCTCTGCCACTATACAAAGTTGTTACATATTAACTCTATTCCCTATGCTGTACATTGCCTCCAGTGTCTTATTTATTTTATAACTGGATATTTGTACCTTTTACTCCCCTTCTCTTATTTTGCCCATCCACTCACTCTCTTCCCCTCTGGCAGCTACTGGATTGCTCTCTGTATCTAGTTAGATGAGTCTGTTTATGTTTTGTTTGTTTGTTTTGTTTTTTAGATTCCACATGTAAGTGAAATCAGATGGTATTTTTTTTCTGGTTCTCCCCATTTTGATCTATAGATTCAACTTAGTTCCAATTACAGGCTCAGCAAGATTTTCTTGTAGATACCAATAAGCTGGTTCAAGTTGCAAAGCACTTTTGAAACAGAAGAGCAAAGTTAAGTTGGATAATCGCACAATAGAGAAATCTAGGTGATAGTTAAATGAGAACTCCCTGTACTGTAAGTCTAAAATTATCCAAAATAAAGTGTTTTTAAAACTCAAGTATAATTTATGAGGCTTTATAATAAAAAATGGCACCGCCTGCCCTGTTGTTTCCCAGCCTGGATTTTTCACTAAAATAGCCTTCTGATATTTTACCTACATATTTCTAAATAAAATGGTTTTCTTGCCATTTTTTTAAATTAACTTTGAGACATTGTAGAGTTCCTTCTATGGAATATCAAAATATGACTGTATGGCTGCCTTTCAGTCCTACCTACTCTTCTGTTCCCCAGTCTGCTCAATGTGGTTACAATTTTTGTTTAACATTTTATATATGCATATAAATACACATTCACATGTGCGTACGTGCGGGCACACACACACACACACACAAATGAGTATGTGGATGCTGTTTGAACTGAGACATGTAATGCACTATGATTGTCTCTGGTAATTTGTGTTTGTTGGTTTTCCTGAGCTAATCATTGACAATTATTTTGATTGCTTAGTTTTCTATGCAACTATCACCAACTGACTGCAAAAATTTCTAAAAGCATTATAATTCTTCTCTCAAATCTGTCTTCACATCAGATTATCTTCCAATCCCATTTATTTTTTCTTAGAGACACCACCCATCAGCCCATTTGTTCTCTTTCCCTTGAGACTGGTTCTCTCTAGGTCTGCAAGCTGCTGTTAGCCAGGGACTTCCCATCACTGTGATCCCAGGAATTCCATTCTTGTTTGGTTTGGTCTATGTTTTCAAGCTAGAGGCTTTTATCAAATGGGTATAAAGTCATGTTCAGTAATGAGGCATTGAAAAGCTGACTGAAACTCTGCCTGTCTGAGTGGTGTATAGATAATCTGATGTGAATGGAGGTATTTGAGATCCAAGCTTTGGTAGTTGTATGTCTTTTTTCCCCTGGGCTGATCTCTGTCCCCAGGAAGGAATGGCTGGTGTCCCAGGGGAAGGGCTGGAGAGGTTTTCCCTAGCGCTATCCACCATTGCTCTCAGAACAGCCGGTTTGACTTTACTTTTGTCTTATTCCAGGGGAGGGTGGGCTACGGGATAGGAAATATCTCTTTTTTTTACCCTGTTCTATACCCCATCTTCAGACATATCACCAATTTCTTTGCCTTTCAGAGAGTCTGTGGAGGGAATTGGATGCTTCCTAAAGACCTCTTTCTCTAGACACTTAAGTTTGAACTTTCTTTGCCCTTCTAAGTCATTTATCATTTACGCACCTGCTTTGCAACTTCCAAAATATCCTGTTTTATCTGCTGTAGACTCTTCTCATTCTTTTAAATTCTATCCTCTTAGTTGAGTATTGGGGAGAAGGTGAAGTTAAAGATGTGTTCATCTTGCTATGTGTTAACCATTAAGTCAGCTTCATTGTCTTCCTTGTAAATGATGCTGTTACGGACTTGATTTCAATACCAGTGCCATTTTCTGGCTTGGGTTCACTGTAGCTCCACTGACTCACATTGTTAAAATGAAATGATTAGATGTGTATGAAACAAGAGAAGACCATTTGTGTTTTGCCTAGTATGGAATTAACAGTGTGGTCACGCCTACATTGTGGAAATTTGTCTCATCAGTAGCTGTTAATATCATAAGACAAGTGGTTCCTATTTAAATTCATCAACAGGGTTCAAGTTTTATGAACAGCAGTTTTAAAATGTCACAAACATTATATCCATTCTCAGTGGATGCTGAAATAACTCAGCCCTCATTTTAAGGTCTATAAACATGGGATTTGATCCTCGTTATTTATGCAACCCAATTGCATCTTAGTTATTTTTATTCTATCACATAGGTGATGGGAAATATGTTGGGTTAAACTTTTAGTTCACTTACAGCCTTAACTGTGATCTTGCAGAGTAGATTTTCCCAATATTGAACACTCTACTAAGCTAAAGATAACTTTGGTTAATGAAAGAACTAAAGTGAAAAGCTTGCACTATGTTTCTGATTTGATGATTTCATTACAATCAAATCAGTGTTTTCTGCTATCTCTGTTCAATATTAATTTCTGGGATGCCTACCTAAATTCAATTTATTAATTCACTTGCCAAAATTCTACTATAGATGCCTTATGGCTTTATTTTCATAACATTTAGAAAGGGTCAAACTCAGAGAACATAAATTTTCTCCAGGAGGTTCAGTTGACATTTTAATGTGGACTACATTTGAACTCAAATGCCACACGCATTTTTAAGACTGGTTCCTTGGATTGTCTCACTGGTACATTATGTTTCTCACTATCCTAATTCTTTCACATTGCCTCATGTCTTAAATGAACCTGATTTTGAAGCTTTTTACATTTTACTTCCTGGGCTAATCACAGATTTGTAGGGAACCACACAGATGTTGTTAGTGTGTCTCTGTAAATGATATCATACGTTGATAAAAGTAAGGCAAACACTATGTTACTTAAATGTTTTAACCACCTCTAAATAGCCAGGTAGAAACATGATTTCACTGTACCATTTTTTTCATACCCTCTTTCATTGATCTTATGAAGATTATCTATCTATCCATCTATCTATCTATCTATCTATCTGTCTGTCCGTCTGTCTGTCTGTCTATCTATCTATATTGGTTAGCCAGTAAAATCAGGGGTAAGCAAAAAGAGACTTAACTGACAAAATGCTCGTGTACACCCAGATCTACGTGAAGATGGAATTAGGGTCTTTGAGAACACAACTCATCACTTCCTGTCTCTATAGTGAAGACACATTGCCCTGCATCATACTCCATTCCCATTCTGTCATCTGGGGCTCAGCACCCTCAGAGCTTTCTCCTGTCTTTTCTGGATTGTTCTTCTGCCATGTGCCCTGCAGACACAGTGATAGAAACAGGGTATATTATTATACCTTACCATAGGAATCTAATCAACCCGATTTTCTTACCACTTCTTCCAAAGCACCCTTTAGCCCAAAAAAAAAAAAAAGAAAAAAAGAAACCGCTTTAATCCTGCCTTGGCATGTGGCATTCTTTCCGTGCTGGAATGTCCTCTCCCCTCCTCACTCTGGTCTCACGTTGCCTGATGAACTCTTACTCATCCTTTAAGACTCCGTTTCAAACGTCACCTCATCTGTGGACCCTTCCTTGATTCTCTTAGAGTTAGTTTACTTCTTCTATAGGTTCCCACAGTACTGTTTTGAGAAATCACCATTTGTGGTTTGCCTTCATGCCTCCTGCCAGAGAGTGAACTCCTCTGGGATTGGGTTTGTGTTTTCAGGACCTAGCGTGGGTTCTTATTCACCGTAGGCTCTCAATACGTTGTTCACAGACAAGCGGTTAGTGAGATGAAGAAACAGTATTGAGTGAATAAATGCTTCAGTTTTAAAGTAAGATCCATACCGGTGCTGAGAATTGTCATTCAGATTCTGTATCTTGTTATTGTCTTTATTCCACCAGCATGTGCACTTTTTCTTAGAAATATTTAAGACCAAGCTCCCATAGATGGGTCTTAATCTTAGAAACTGCCAAACAGGAAAACTCCCTCCTCATCCCTGGTAATTCAGCAAAACAAACTTAAACTTTATGTAGCGACTCTAGAAAAGAGCGTGGATTCACTGAATGTAAGAAATGAAATTGCAGATGAAAAATAAATACGGGATATGTAATTCAGTTGATTATTTTTGTTATAAAATTCTATTGGTGCATGGAAATAGAAACAGATTTTCAGGGAGTTTGGTCATCAAGTAGAGATGACTATAGAATCTTGAAAATTGTTGAATTAAAAACAAAAACATCATTTTGATCATTTAAAATATGCGAGTTCAAATAACAATAATAAATAATAATACTGAAGGCTTGTTTATGAAACATTTTATCCTTCCAAAGCCTGGGAAGGATTTTCAAATGTTTTAGGAGAACTTCTGAAAATATTAGTCCATGTTAGAAACAAAATCACATACCAGAAGGGCTGCTTTTTTAGTTTAAGCTTATGATCTATCTTCTCCTAATAAATGTTTTTTTTTTAAATTAATAAAATCCTGGAATATTTACTGAGGGTTGTCTATAATGACTCTTTAAATTGGAAACTTGGAATTCTTAAAAAGGTATTTCAGATGTTTGTTATTGGGGTGGTGTTTAGTATTTGGCCTCACTAGAATAATAACCCAGATTTCTAGTCATTGGAAATGTTTTTTTCTTAAAGAGAAGCATTTATTATTCATAAGATTGATGCAGCATGAAGATTCTGATGATACTTTGCTGTGTAAGACACATCTGGTTCAGATCTATGGAGTACGTAGTCACTGCTGGGTTTTTTGTGTTGTTTTGGCTCTATCTTCAAAGTAGTTTATTATCCACCGAGAGCCTAATGAATCTATAATAAATGTCTGCTTATTGTGTCACTTGTAGGTACTGTGGTCTTTGGAACTGGGTTACTGGATTCCTGAGGAACCGTTTGAACTTTCTAACTACTTCCCTGCAGCTCCTGTAAGTCAGATGTTATTTTATTATGGTAAATACAATTCAGAATTCTCAGGAAATTATTATTTGCATAGATATGGACTCAAGTTTTGATTAAGCTTGCAATTAAAAACACATTTTCATGGAATTTTTCATAATACTTTTTTTATCCGTTTGTGAGAACAAATGTAGGAATGTGAGAATATTCTGCAAAAAATCATGTGGAATGAAATCTTAAAGAATTTTAATTATGAAAGTCCTCAGGATTGAGAAAAAGAAGAAATGAAAAAGGACTAGATTCTTGAGGAGGTAGTATGATGTCTTATTTACTGCTTTGAGAAATAAAGCTGTTACTGCTTTTAGAGACAGAACTGATAGGTATAAAAGTCATGGCCTGCTGGCAACATGATGCAGTCCTTATGTTCTGATGCTCTTCCCAAATGCAGCTTTAAGTTTACTGCATTTTAAATTTTAAATATTTTGAATGCTTAATGGAAGTTCTAATTTTTTAAAAGATTAAGTAACAATTAAATAGGTAATTTCAGGTTTAATTGGAAGCAGGATCATGTAGATGTTGGCTTTCATTTTCAGAAAAGTTAACTGGTTTGTGACACAGTTTATGCTTTTGGAAGATTAATACCTGAAAGAGAAGTGGCAGTTTTTATCTATGACCAGGGCTGGTGTTATTTGCTGTTATTTGAAGTATGCATAGGACGTTGCCCTCTCATCACCTATTTATCTAGGTTGTTGGATTGCTTTTATTTTCATTTTTAAGATTATCATTTTGATTTTCCCTCCACTTTATAAATATTTTCTTAAGGAGAAAAAACATTCTTCTTGGCAAGACTCTGTTTGATATACCACATAAGGAATTGAAGTGTAAAGACACAAACCCCCCTACTCTCTGTCATAAGAGAGTATACGTAACTCTGTGTAACACAGTGTGGCGTGTCTTTGAAGTGCATCTCACCTGCCGGTGTGGGCACACGGTATCAAGTATGCTATTGCCAATTTTTCCCATCTTATCACTGGTCCACCTCAGTGTCTGCCATGTGGTCATCGAGACATCACAGGAACTTAGGGTTTCTTCTGCAGTGGAGATATCTTCTTATTACCAGATAATGTTTTAACTTGGTACAAAGCTGTGCTCTGTTGAATTTATAAAGCCTACTTAAATGTAACAAGAGAGACTGTTCAAAGATGGGGAGGTTCTTTCCTCAATATATTTGTCAGGGAAGCACAGCGAAGTGGTAGAGAAAGTGGCGTGCCGGACTCTTCCAGAGTCCATAAACTGACTCAAAACATGCAACAGATGTTAGTATTCTCAAATGAAGTTGGGGTGGAGGCATACAGAGGGAAAATAAATTACATAAGAAAGAACGGAATAAAGAAAAAACATAGTAGTAGAACCCCATAAGGTGAAGACAGACATGAGGTAAGTTCTGGTTTCAAATGTGGCCCTACGCTTCCTAGCAGCAGCCGACTCCAAGGCAAATACGTGAGAAATGGCTTCCAAATTACAAAGCATTACATGATGTACATTAATGTTAATTGTGCTATGAAAACTTCAGATGCAGTTAAAACTCTAGGGGTTTAAAGTTTTGCAGCCCTGAGCTTAAATCCATGCTCTCAGAATTTTCTGTAAAGATTTGAATCTATTGTAAACATCAAATTTTGGTTTTGTACCCCAAAATGCTTTTTTTTTTTTTTAAGTGTGCTGGTGGACATCAAAAAAAAAAAAAAAAAGACTTTAAGGGTGAATCTAGCTTGAAAAGTATAGCTTTGTATGTGCTTTAAATAGAAGGTTTTTCAACCATAAACTAAATTGTAGCCTACTTCTCTAAAATATAACTTAATAGAAAAAAAAAAGACCTTTGTAATAGAATAGTGAGGAAAAGATAGTAAAGTCTCTTTGTCATGGAATTAAATGTATAATTTTCTTCGTCATTAAAAATCGAATCTTTCCTTGTCATGAGGCATAACCAATGGTTTCAGAATCAAATCACAAAATCGTAAATATTATCATAAAGGTTAAATGTAATTATCTAATAATTTATATTTAATTACTAAAAATACCTTCATATTTAACAGCCAGGCAGAAAAAAAAATAGTACAATCTTCATATAAACTGAAAGAACACACATTTCTATTAATTTCAGAGATCCTGGAAGTTTTCACCATTTAAACTTGAAATATATATTTGAGCATTAACTTAAAACTATGCTGTCAACACGTTCGTAAATATGCTGATTTCAAAATGAAAGTTTAAAGCACCTAAGAGGAGGAGCAAAAATGCGTTAACTATGTTTTTTCCTTCTCCAAATATTAAACTGCAAATAAGCACTTCCCAGAAAAATCCCTGAATATATAATATATTTTTATGGCTTAGAGATTTTTTCTTCCTTTCAATTACGATAGTGATGCTGAATTCAGGACATATGGATATTTACACAGTCTATAAACAGGGCTTAGAAAAATGCAGCTCCAAGGTTATCTCGACTGTATAGCCTAAGTGTTCTGTTTTCCAGTTATTTGCGGATGAACCCGGCACAACATTCTTGGTTGTGACACCAGAGTCTGTAAATTGTCAGTCTTAAATTTGCAGGCTTAGATTTATCTTCACATAGGCATTCTACCAGGTCACGATACCAGGGCTGTGCGTCGGTGCGTGACTGATGCAGGTTTGAGTGGGGAGGTTTACGGGGCTCTAAGCTGGAGCTCATGGATCCCTGTGGCACCTGAGCGCACGCTGCCTCTCTGAGGTGGATGAGGACACAGTATGCAGCCTTGTCTTTTAGATCTTCAGGATTAGGTCTCTGGAAATAGAGTAATTGGCCGCCACTCCCCAGGTGTGTGCAGGCATCTAGAAATCTGCTGGTCGGATCATCATGGTCGTGGCCTTGAGCGAGTAGCCTGAACCTTTCCAATAGTACCACTTAATACCGTTGAACTTATTTGTGTTCTGCTTCTGTGGGTAGTACATTCCGTTCAAGTTGGAGGGACCGCATGCATCAAACCACCAGCCTGTGAAAGTAAGACGCAGAAGGAATTAGGAACCAGGCAACCCCAACTCTGTCTCACCGTGGCATTAGAAACACTTGACTAATGCCCCCGTCACATTCCGTGCATTTTAAGTAGACACATGCAAAGATTCAGGGGTGTAGAATGTGCCCCACTGACAGACGAGAGCGATGGTTTTCCAGCTTTACCCAAGTTAAATCCTAGTTCCATATGGCACATGTTTTTATGGGCTGTTGTACTCCGTTTTCCTTGTGTGGAAAGACCAGTCACCCATAGACATGCATGGCACGTCTTCCCTGGTCCCGATTTGGTGACCACCACAGTACAGTGGAAAGTGGGGATAAGTCAAAACACTGAAGAATGGATGGATGACCCTCATTGGATTACTTTCTGGTTCCAGCAACTTAGTGGGCCAGATGGATTCAGGCTTCCCTCCTTCTACCAGACATTTTTTTTTTTTTTTAAATGATTCCAAATTTTAAGAATTCAGGGAAGCTAGATGAAAAGGAAATCTTTAAGCCCTAGAGACAAAAAGGAAATTGAAAGCGATAGTGGTGTGCTCACTGAGGTGAGGGGAGCTGCCTGGCACAGCAGCAGGGGAGGGGTGGGTCTGCATGGACACCTGAATGGCCATGCTTGGGGTTTTGATGCTTTTACCTAGAAACAAGAGTGTGCCAGAAGCCCTGGTTTTCAAGGAGAAGGAATGACCTAGATCTACATAATCTAAATAAATCTTAGAAACATTGTGTTGGGAGTACACATACAGTACGATGCCATTTATGTAAGATTTTAGAATATAGGAAAAAACCGCTGTTCATGGTATCTGCATACCTAGTACAATAAATAACTAATGTGAATGAACCTGAATTCATTGCTCACCCCACAGGCAGGTATTGGCAGGACAGCTTTAGTTGTATCTGTGAAGTTTTATTTGTTTAAATAAAAAATATTTTGATGTAATGATTATATTATTATATTTACACACTGGACTGTGATGATCATTTCATCCAGTTATAGCTCATGTCTTGAGCGGATTCAGATTAACGTCGATTTGATAAGAAATTTGTGTGTATTAGTCAGAATCTTTGAAAATATTCAGGAATGTTGCAGATTCATAGATCTGTCCGCCCTAGAGCCTGTTGGCTGACGTAACTATAGAATTTGCTGTCCCAGCAAAAACCTAGCTGATCATTAGGCTGGTTTGCCCGGCGCCCAGACAATGGGCTGGGGCCTGAAATCCTATTGCTTCACTTTCTCTCTTGGGCTGTGTGTTTCTCCCCAGTCTCTCCCACTTCTACTCCCAGCCCTAAATTTTGATTCGAGTAAATAAATATATTGTTTCCTTGGTTATTAATGCACTTCTCCTAGTCTCTTGAGTAGCTCATGACATACGGGTGGTCTGAAAACCACCGCCCTCTCGAGTGGACAGCTGGGTTCAGTGTGGGAATGGCAGATGGGAAAAAGGATTCGGTGCATTTGGTCCCCCCCCCCCACCCCTTTTCCCCTTTTTGTTGGCTTCAAAAAGGTTGAGGGAGACAGGCAGCTTTTACACAATCAATATAATAGCTTTCTTTCATTGAAATAATTATTGAAATAAATATGGCTAATAGAGAAGACCTGTGTTGCCAGTATATATTATGTGGATACATATAAATATATTATCTAAAGAACCACAGGACTGATTTTTTAATGGATTCTAATTCTTTCAGTATTATTTTAAAGATAGGAAAATTACTGAATTTCAAACTATTTTCATAAATAAATCTTTTCTCTTGACGGTAAATGATTCTTCACTGATGTGCAAACACATGATAAGCTTAGGTCTTGTTTATGTAGTTACCTTATATTTGTCAAATAAATTGACCACAGCTTTTACCTTTTTCTTTCCTGGGTGAGTAAAGAATGAACTTTTGGTAATATAATTTACGGTCTCTACAAATTAAACCCTGCCAACTTCCCGTTTGCCTTTACGTTGTTTGTATCTCAGCAGAATTTTTGTTGCTGGT